TTATTTTCGGTCTTACTTCTCTTCGACGTTTTTGTTTTCGACATTTTGATGTCTTTTTTTTCGGCGTTTTTCCTTTCGACATTTTACCATTTCGACCAAAGTCATATAGACCACTACACCTTCTGTTTTACCGAATAATTTGTTCAAATTGCGACGATAAGGCCTTCCGGCTTTTAAGGGTTAAATTTATCGTATTGATTATAACAAATTAATATATTTGTTGCTTTTTTTGTCTGATTTCGATTTAGCTTAGTGTTTTGTTGTTGTTTAGATACTGAAGAATTAATAGTGAAGATAGAAATAAACATAAACATCGATGAAAAAACATCGTCGAGTGGCAATAAATTGATTGTTGATGAAAATGATTATCTCATCAATTATTGAACTAATGATGAGAGTCAATTAGCTATGTATAAGGAATGATTTTTTGTATGAAATTATTCTGTTCAATCGATCATTACACGATCAATACATTGAGTAAGCACTCTAATAAACTGTTCTCTTTCCGAAGATACAATATACAATTCTTGACATGATTATGAAATAGTTTACAATGAAATGTATGCATTCATTTTATACCATATCATTATTTACAATGTTCTAAAGTCAAATTATTGATTACCATGTTATTGTTTCGTTTGAATCATAATATTAGAAATCAATTCATGTAATGATTTATATATTCCAATCTCAAATGAGGTATGTTGCTTCTTTTTTTTGTTAAGAAGAGAAACAGGAGAATAGTCATATTTTAAGTTTAATTTTTGTCTGATTGAGGGAGAACATTCGTAGATAAGTTGAAAAGTCCTAGTGGTCAATATGACATTTCAAGTTATTTTTTCGATACGATAGACATAATCTATTCCGGATGGAATAATGTTCTTTTTTTAAATATACATCAATGTGTTAATTGTTAAACAAAAAAAATTAAATTTTTCTATCTCAGTTTTGTTATTATGTAGGGAAGGATAGGTACTGTCTTGTATCACAGCCTGTTAGATGGCTTCGTAACCTGGCCCAGATAGATTTCTTGTGCCTATTATGGTGAGGCTGTGTAGTACTCGGGAAAGCCTATATGTTCATAGGTTCTTATCGTCCTTATTGTACAATATACCTACGTTCATGCCCTATCAGTCCAGCATGGTCTGCTCTGCGTGTACCCAGATCGAGCCTACAGGGAACCTCCCTGGTCGTGCGCGTATGCATGAATGAGCCGAGAAAAACGGAAAAGCGATGTGAATAGCAATGCAAATCAATTTATTAAGCCTATCAAAAACAAACATTCACGTTTTTTTCCGAATATTTTCAAATGTTTCTTTATATTCTAAAAGGTGAGGATGATTTGAAGGCAACTTATCTTGAGCGATTTCTAGCGCTAGTTTAATATTTTTCATTGCCATACTATATTGTTGAGTAGCCAAATATAACTTCGCTAAATTGTGATATACTACAGCTAAATCAGGATGGTTTTTTGGTAGTTTCTTTTCACGTATTTCTAATCCTTTTTGATAATACGTCAATGCCGTTGAATAATCTTTCATTTCACGATATGTTTCACCTAAATTTATATAAGTCGCTGAACAATCCAGAGGATTACATTGAACGTTTTCTTGAATATTTATTGCATTTCGATGAAATGTAAGTGCCTTTTCATAATCTCCCATTAATCGATGAACATCACCAATACTACTGAATGCAATAGCTAGATATGGATGATTTTCAGGCAAGGTTTTTTGCCATATCGAGAGACACTTTTCAAAACTCTCAAGTGCTTTTGAGTAATCTTTCATACGAAGATACACTCTTCCGAACCAGCTAAACGGAAAAGCCAGATGAGGATGATTTAGAGGGAGAGCTACCTCGTAGATTTTATGTGCTTTTTCGTAAAACTCAAGTGCTTTCGAGTAGTCACCCATACTGCTATATGCTGCACCAATCCAGGCGTAGGAACTACCAAAATCGAGATGATTCGGAGGCAAAGTTTTTTCAAAGATGTGAAGTGATTCTTGGTAAAATTCAAGTGCTTTCGAGTAGTCACCCATGGCATTATACACTTGACCGATGTTGTTGTAGGAATTAGCCAATGAGGGATGATTCGGGGGTAAGGCTATTTCGTAGATTTTATGTGCTTTTTCGTAAAATTCCTGTGCTTTCGAGTAGACACCCATGGCGTTATATACTTGACCGATTGTACTGAAGGAAGTAGCCAAATCTGGATGATTCGGAGACAGAGTATTGTTTGCGATTTCTAGATCTTTTTCGTAAAATTCAAGTGCTTTCGAGTAGGGGTGGTACATTTACGTTTATTTAAAATTAACGTTAACGAAAAT